GTAAGCAACGGCGTCACGTGATCAGTGATGCCGTTGCCTACGCCGTGTATTTGACATTATATTGAATTTGTGAGACATGCGTATAACTTGTGTTTGTCATTTGCAGAGTATGTGTGCTACATGCATACAGCATGTTTGTCGTACTAACAGAACGGAATAGTGATTACTCCCTTTAAATCCATCTGCGTCTCTGAGCAAGAAACGGTAACTTTTGGTCCGAGATTCGTTCCTCTTTCCGTCACCTGGAGTCGTGCCTTGTTGCCTCATCACCAACTGCTAAGTATCCTTCAGTGAGAGGTAGCATTCGGAGATAGAGACTATCAGCAACAACACACCATTATTGATTTCAAAGACGAGTTCTTACTGTGATCTTCTACTAGCCACGCTAACTTAGCGTTGCTGCCGAAATTTGCATCAAACATTTCGCTGAAAGCACAGTTAACAACTGTTTGAACCAGTTGGTTGCAAGAGATATTAGTCTTTCAGGTAACGTACACTTCGCCTCACAGTTTTGTGGACTGTGATGTGATCCACTCACTGCTAGTTGCCAATCAAACGGCATAGTCACCTATCCAAAACCATCCCTCCATCCGTCCAACCAGGTTTTAGTGACCCAGAGCGCACATTGAAATTTCGCTCAAGAGACTCGCCAAAATTTATTACCCTCGCTTGCTCCCAGTATTAATCATACTACCGGACCGTTGCCCTTTCCAAGTAGCATCTGGTACGCCTTCACAACCATTCCTCTTTGGCGAAATCAAGATGATCTTGTTATGGTATTACAATTAGAGTATTAGCCAATGCCTTCTTTGATTCACATTTCTTTGATTTTCGGAGGAAAGGCATCAGTGATTTTTTCAAAGGATAGAAGAAAGAATGGTGATCTTTTTGCTGAACATTTTTCAACATTTCATTAAATTGAAAAATTCAAGTGATTCAAAATTTAGAACTTCAAAATGATTTTCATTTTTTCAAAAAACATTCTTGCCAACCTTATACTTACCTGTATCACATCAATTCGCTTCTACCTGAAGTGGATCCTTAACGATCACATCACAAAAGACTCGAAGGGGCAGTTAACCACAAATGGAAAAAAGGCAACAGCCATTTTACACGATCAAAGCACTGCGTACTCGTTGGAGACAAGTACACAAAGAAAGCAATTTCAGGAAATCATGCCGTCGAAATATCGTAATATTACAGCTGAGTTACAACTATGGAATTCGACAGACGGCTGATTCCAAACTCGCTCTTGAACTTTGCGTAAACCATAATGAGCTTGTGCACAACATAGAATCACTGCTGTCATCATGAACCATAAGCAAACAGCCAGCATAGATTTAGTAGTTTAGATACATATAAAATTAAGTCACAGGGAATAACCCACTTTTGTTAACACTCAAGGAGCACAATAATAATAATAGCAATGATAATAATAAGTATAATTATAATTATTATTATTTCTATTATTATTATTACCACTGTCATAATAATAATAATAATAATCATTATTATTATTGTTACTATAATTATAAAAATAACAATAATCATAATTATCACTGCTATAATAATAATTATTATTAATATTATCGACATTATTATTCTTATTCTTATAGCAATAATAATAAGAAGAAGAATGATAATACAATCCTCAATAAAAACCTTCTCCTACCGCACTATTGTGCATTTGCTTGCCAAAAAAATCAAGAACCATTGAACTTTCACTAAAAGATAAAACACTCACATATTCGCACCGTCGCGCTCCATGTTCACCCCTTGCTCCATGTTTCATGAGGTAAGTATCACCTAGTAAATCGAGAATTCGTGACATAAACTGAAAGACTGAATGAAAATGAAAGAAAAATGTCAAAACATGGGTTGCACAAGCAAAATAGAAAATGATGGTCGCCCGGCAGCGAGGCAACGGTTGGGTTGAATGACGCCGTGGGCAATCGATGTGAGAATCGATGTGATCTACTCTGTACTGTAATCGAAAATCACAAGGGCTGTGATCAAACGAAACAACACTTCAAAAACTGCTTACTACTTAGTGGAATAGCCTTACAGAGAAAACTGTGCGTTCATATGAGTTATGAGGCTTTCGAAACAACTCCTAATCTGAGTCTAGTCGCTCAATGCAATGAGAGACTCCCCGATTGTTCTAGATGAAATCATTCACTCCTTTCTTTTCGGTTTTCGAGTGCAAGGGATAGACCATGAGCAGATTCCAATATTGTTCGTTATCCGTCATGCTTACATGGCCGATAGTATTCCAACACGTTTCTGTTCTCATCAACTGAGGGGCGTTGGTACTGAGAATGACCCTAGTGTCCTTCAGTAGATTCATTTTGCAAGGCCGCTTCGACCTAGGAAGATGAAATTTTCGATTTTCAGTAATTTCTTCTCTATGTAGAAAAAATAGACCATATTTGAACAGGTGCTGCCATTGTGAGTGTACCCATTCTCAAAAACACATTTATTAAGCAACTCATTCCGAAAAAAAGGAGAAAAAACATAAAACCATATAATCATGCTGTTCTTAAGAATTTACACTATTTGATAGAGTGAATGCAGTGCAATATTTTTCTTGAATAACAGCATAATATAGATATTATCGATCGTCCTCGGCGGACTCAACGGTCTTTCTGTCAGATCGGATCGAGCTAGAGCTAGTTGACGATATAGTTGACGATATAGTGGATGATCTCGAAGACTCGTAATCCTTCGGTAATATACCGTAATCAGCTAGACCATGAATTCGTTTGTAAGATACCAAACTCGGCTGAATGGTGAACAGAGTTTTTAATGGCTGAAAATGGAATCACAGTATGGCATGCACAGGCTTTTCGTGGGATAAAATTTCAATTTTTCGAAAAACTTACCCGTCCATGCCTTTTCCATTCGATTACGTTCGCCACAAAATATATTGGTATCGGAACCAAAGGTATCAAGCTCAAAAACCATCCGAAACCCTGCAATCACAAGTGGGAACAATGTTGAGATTAGAGAGTAGAGACAAAAAGTCATACGGGGAGGGACTATTGTGAACATCAAATAGTATAAATGTTATGAACGCGAACACAGAAGAAGTTATTTCAGAAGTGATAGAAAACGACAGAAGCACCCACCAACGCCCAACGAGGAAATGTGTATGTCTTTGAACGATGTTCAACGGTTAATTCATCCCGAATCACTGTGAAGACCATGATGATCTGGAACATTATCGTGTAACGCGATGGTGAAAGATGGCGGGTCGAATCTCTCCTTTTCCTCTTCTTCCCTGTGGTTCCCGAGTTCTCAAAGGGGGAAATACGGGTGGTGTTTTGAGCCTGAACGGACAGCTGTCTCCAACTGCAGCTGACTGAATCGAACTTGGGAGCGGCAAAAATCTCTTGGCACTTCCCAGATGGTGATAGGGTGTCATAGCAGTCAAACTGGGCTTTTGTAGCGGTATTCTTATCACTAAGTGAGGCGAACTGTTTCTATTGAATGCTGAGCTCTCCCTACCAGAACCATCGCCGACAGGGTTAATCCAGTGGGTTGCGCATGAGTTTCTGGGCACTGTGAGCCTCTTACCGAAAGGCTCTGTTGGCGACAATTCGGCAGGGCACCCATATCTGAGAGCAAAGATTGAGGTTTCTGACACAATTGTAGCTGGTTGAGGTGAGTACGATTGGGGCGAGTTGACCCACACTCACCCATTCCGGACGGTAGGGAAGTTTTGATAAGTCTGGGTTGTATCTAACCGAAGCTCGACCTGCGGACTATGCGTGTTCCTCCCTCGGCACGACAATATCTCCATGAGATAAGAGGATAGTGGTTGAGATTGATCCTCTCGTTTATTTATGTGGTAACACGAACGACATACTCACTAGTCCCATTGCCGGTGTAACGAACTTCCAACAGAATGCCCATAAAGGAGCTGCTGGCTCGAATAATCGTGATAATGGATCGTCACGCGGTTCCCCAAACATTTCGCGAGCGTCCTGTCGGATATTTGAAAACCCTGAACAATTCAGAAATGAAACTTGTTCTTCTTCCGGAGAAGGGACAGAATCGTACCGTAGACGTATATGAAGACCAGCACTTCTGCTACAATGACGACACAAGCAGAAGTTGAGGCACAGTATGAATCAAATACTGTAAACCAGAAGAAGCCGCTCTGAACAATATAGTTTGAAACAATAGATAGCGAATACTAGCTGGGTACCGTTCCCATGAAGAGTGATTGACTTTAGGAGGATTTCGGGTCTATTATTAAAATGTTCCCGAAATTCTGCCAAAGTGAATGCTACTACTGCTCTAACCTTTTCAGTAGTTAAGTCACTTTATATCGTGTTCGCTATGAATCAAGGCTGTCTCCAGGTGTGCTCACGAACAGGGAAAGGTTTCCAGGCTTCCTCAGAGCCAGAAAGAGCTCTCTTCCACCCCAGAGTGTCCTCCAGTGGCTATCTGCCAAAGGTGCACACCATGGCATTTTCAGTCAGTCCTTCTAACTTGCAGTATTCGATCCCACCGGATTCAAAACTATTCGTGGAAGGGAAAGAGCGTTATTTCGGATTATTCTGAAGAGTTAGAGATCACTCTCAGTATGGGACTCTCTCTTTGTCCCGATTCCTCCTCCTCCCCTTCCCCTTTTCCTCCCCCTCCCCCTCTCCCATTCTCATTTCCCTTCCCCCATCCAATGAGATCAGTTCGAAAAGCCTTCTCCTTGTGAACCATACTGTTGAAAGGCCCTTATATAAGAACATCATTCACGATTTCCAGAGCCGAACAAATGATTCCAAAACCTTCTAGAAACCTTCACCACAGCCCTATTAATAATCTAAAATCTCTTTTGATTATCAAAAACTCACTTCAGTTGTCATAATTACACCGCAAGCAAATAGAATCACACAGGTACATAGCGACACAAACCATTTAAATTTTCGAGTATACGGCCACTGATCGTAGATGTTTGTGCAAATGGTTTCGGCAAAAGCTGAATTGATATGAACTGATTGGAAAAGATGCAGAACGAAGTCCGGACATACCGACTTCTGAGCTAATACCCAAGCAGAACAGCATGGCAAAGAAGCACGAAGCCCATACTGATGGATACGGCATTTTTGACATGGCCTCGGGATAGGCGACAAACGCTAAGGATAAACCTGAAATTGTCAACCATTCTTTACACTATGGTAAGGGTTTATACTTGACATTACAGCCAAGGTGATACAGTACCAAAATGGGCACTATCAAGGACTGGTCAAGGAATCGAATCACAGCAGATACCTATCTGGGCCGATCGAGCCTACTATCTCTTCGGGCTTAGTCAGTCTGGGACCACACTTGTTTGGGAGGATAAAAGCTCTAAGTTTTCCATCGACTGACCACTACAGTTACTGCTTAAGCCAAATGTGTCAAAACGTCCTTTACGATTCTGGTTGTTAATCCAGTGGAGGGACGCATCCCAAAAGTGGATTGATTGACGCCAGTAACCTCATCTTTTGTAGAATCCATTCAAAGAACGAATACGAGTTGCTGCTCTTCCTTCTTGGTCCCCCTTCCCCACTATTCGCTGCTGCCCTCTGCCGAAGGAATATGAGCTTGTGAGCAAGTATTGGAAAAGAAAAGCAAAAAGGTCTAGAGAGGGAAGGACTCACCGCTAGACACCACCTCATCGATAGGTTTGCGAAGTTGATGGGAAAGATAGCCTAACGTTGCAAATACAGCAACTCCTCCAAAAACACTCATAATCAAAACGCCCCAGATCACGAGCCAAGCATCCTAAATATAATAGTAAACCGAATAAGTTCCATCAAGGGCGGAATGATTTGTCCGTAAAAATAGTAATTCAACGCTTAAATAAATAAACAAAAAACAAACCCTGTAGCAATTGTTATATTGTGCATTGTAGGATGCCAACACAATAATGCCACCGTAACCAACGTTCAATGAGAAACAAATCTGTACAAGAGCTGCCGACCACGTCTGGAAAAGTTCAAGGGATAATTTGGAGGAATCATACTTGGCTGGAGCTCAAAAGAGCATTGTGAGGGTGATGCTGCATGGGAGGACTTTCGGCCAGGGAGAGGNGGATCGCAGACTATGAAAGCAGCCAGTGGGTAGCAACGGCACCTCTTGACCTTCCCATTAGCCAATTGCTGACAATAAGAGCACGGAACCCAACCCAAATACTGCAACTATAAACCAAACCTCATGATTCAGTAATCTGTTAAAATCTGGTTTCCCAAGGTAGTAATAAACTCCTTCAGAAGCGCCTTCCAACGTGATTCCACGAACAAATAAAACCACAATTATTAAATAAGGAACTGTTGAAGTAACCTGTAAACAACTATTTATTTATTGTTAATTTATTTACTTATTTATTTATTACAAAGAAGAAAATAGACTTCTGATGTCCAAATAACTCACGTAGGCTACTTTACCCATGTATTCGTAACCTTTCACCAATATTAAAATTACAGTCGTCCACATTACTGCTAGAGCTGTCAGTGTTGGCCAATTAATGTCGCCTATCTGGTCTATTCCATCCGATCTTTTTGTTACCACATTCCTACAAATGAAAAATGCATAGGACACCCCTATGCAAAATAGTAATTACATAGAATTCCCTATAGCCGTAAAACACCAGTATGTATCATAAAACATTCGAGACACTTTTTCCGTTATCACTGAATTTCGGGATGCGCCACGCATTCGATTTTCTATTCAGATAGTAGAGACATTTTTTATGGTTATTTCATGAGAAATTTTCATTTCATTCGAGTAACGATTTGCTACAGGAGCAGCTGCGTTGCCGTACTATGAACCCAGCTTATCAGCATTATCTCTATCTCTACCCTCAACATTGCTGCTCTCGAGTACGTTTAGATTGAGCTTAGGGACATTGTTTACGATGACTGTTCAGGCGAAGAAACCGTTTGCTGTGACCACCAATCACCCTTTTTCTTCCGATCGTAACTCAAAAAAAAAACCACTTTCAATAGAGTTGCGCACTAAAGAACAATTGGCATACAAATGGGAGTGCTGTTGTACTGGCTTCCTCGCCCAAGCACCGAACCGGGAGACAGTGGGTAATGGCTCCAACAGCGTTCCATCCTTGATCGTTATATCGAATTATAAGCTCCAGTTGGAAGAAAGACACAAGCTTCAGGCTTATTCATTTCTCAGGAAGATGAATCAAGCTACTCACGTGAAATATTGGTCGAATGGTGTTTTCATTTCCTTGAAGACCATTGCTATACAAGATCCGTTAAAAGCAATTGGGTGGTATGGATCTTTTCGAGCGCACTCTTTCATCAGCTCCTCATCGGTGCAATCTGAACGAATGAATTACCTTTTAGGCCTGTGCCTTGGTGGATCTCGCAAATCTCGCAACCAAGCATATGGTTCTGCTCTACGACTGGGACTTCCCGTGGTAGGAAGCTAAACAAATAAATTAATAAACATAGATGAAGGTGAACAAATCTGCTGACCAAGAATAGCAAGATTTTCTAGCCCACATATATGTATGTTCTGTAAGAGAGTTTCCAACTCACAGATATCATTCCAAGAATTATAGCAGCTTCCCCATGTTGGCATCTGACCAGTTACGGCAGAATAAAGATAAAGAAAGCCCCACGCGATGATTACACAGTAGTAGATGCTGACCGTTAGTGAGATGAGTGTCATGGACCATCCTAAGCCTACAAAATATTGAACATTGTTCAACAATAGTAGCTGTAGCACAAGCAAGAAAGGATTAGTAGGCGTCTGATAGACTCTGAGGTGAGCTACTTCGCTAATATATGGTCATTAACCCATTGACGACCATGCAGTCCACATGTGGACTGCAGTTGTATATTTTATTTTATTTATCTATATCGCCACTTTTTAACTATCTTTCTTGTCAAAACATAAGATCAGGTCTAAGTTAAACTATATACTGTGTGGTCCCAAGAAATCTTCTACTTTTGCAATTTTACAGATAATAACAATGACCATAGGCATCATACTTACAATTTAGCTTTTGGTTTCCGGAGTATATCTCCTTTCGCACTAGTTTAGACAGTTTTACACCACAC